GACAGTAAAGGACGGGCCAAAGTCTGGATGATCGACTTCGGGAAGACCACGCCTCTCCCCGAGGGCGAGGAGCTGACCCACCGGGCGTCGTGGGTGGAGGGGAACCGGGAGGACGGGTACCTCTCTGGACTGGATAGTTTGGTGGACATCGTTTGCTCCATGGTGAACTCGGACACATGAGCAGCAGCCGCTTCCGTTGGCCCGTCGGGGGAGAACTTTCCTCGGGGACTCCGTCACATGTTGGAAACCACGAGATCCGGAAAAAAAAAAAAAGGAGCACACGGCCAGATCCATTCGCGTCTGCTCGCTGGAGAGTCCGGATTTAGTCGTGACGTGTTTGTTGTTGTCTTGAACCCCCTTAAAAGGCCTTTTTCTCAGCAGACGTTGACCTAACAACAGTTACGACAGCTCGGTTCCTCGTTAACCAGCAGACGCAATAACGTTATTTATACACCTGAGTTCTTCTGTTGTGACGTCCAAATCTAACTTTTAGGAATTCTCGGTTTAACCTTCTGAACTCCAAGCACATTCTGGATGTTGCTCCTGTCAAAAAAAATCAAGAAAACCTGAAAGAAATGAAAAACAAGTGCCTCGTTAACTAATTGCATTTTTAATTTACTTCCATTCTCAACGTCTCTCTGACTGACTTTCTGTTGTGTTCGTCACAGCCGAGTCAGTCTTGATTTTTAGAGTTTTTTAGTTTTATGCAGATTCTGTTTGTTTTGGCAAATTTTTAAATGATACACTAAATTATTTTATTGAAACATCCCAATTTTAAGCTTAGATTGTTTGTTTTTCCTGGTGGAGCCAAACATGGACAGTTCAAGGACTGTCAGAAAGTTAGAAACCAAACAGTTATGTCTGTTTTTACTATTTCCAGCTGATAAGTTGTGTCAGTTTAAAGACATTTTTAAAACATAGCACGCCTTTCAAACCTGCCGGCAGGTTGTGGAGTTCAGAGGGTTAATAATATTCCAGTGATTTTAATTCCCACAGTTGTGATTTTTCTTTTACTTTTATTATCAAAATGTCTGCTTTGAAAAAGGCCTGTTTTTATATTCCTAACCCCTGAAACACAACCTTTTACTGAAAGAAATCTCTGTTTAATTGAACTGAAAGCTGCCGTATTGTAACCAAATCCCATTCAAAGACCAAAACCAACAATGTGTTCGTCTTCTTCACCTGTTCAGCATTTCTGTGAATCCACACCATTAAAAACAGCGCCGGCACAAGAAGGTGAACTGACATCTTCAAGAACCCCCCCAAAAAAAGTCTAACTGCTTCTACTGATCAAAATAAACCCCAAAGGTCGTAGTTTGTAGTTAATGTCACTGAGGCTGTAGTAAACCAAACAACATGTTGGTGGACTGACACCAAACCGACTCTTTAGTTTTTATTTTTGTTGAATGGGACGTATCAGGTGATGTTGATGAAATATCACAAATTTAAGCTCAAGTTTGGTTAATTTTTCCAATGGAACCGCATGTCACACACGACTAGTTCAAGGACCATCGGAAAGCTAAAAATCACCTGATTTGTTCTGCTGTTACAGTTTCCAGCTGATAAAAGATCCAGTGTAGAAGTGAGTTAAACCTGGATTCTTTCTAACGGCCAGCAGGGGGCGACTCCTCCGGCGGGAGAAAGAAGACGGATTGTGTAGAAGTCTATTAGAAAATGAATCTGCTTCTCGTTTGATAAACGTTCGGGAAACGTTAATTAAGTTAGTGGTCTCCATTAGGTTGGACCAGTTCAAAGTAAAGTGAAAGTAACACTGGAGATGTTGGACCAATGGGAACAAGAGAGAACCAACCAACCGATCCACCAGGAAACTACAGCCCCACAGTTAAATTCTATCTGAATTTGGTGATACAGGAAGATCCTACGTCCAGTTACTTGTTGGTTTTGGTCTTTAAGGGTATTTGTTTCTAATCAAACACCAGAATTATCCTTCAGAGCCACTTATGTGAGGAACTTTTACCGCCATTGACACCGTAATTGTCTAATTTTCTATAAAAACCAGCACTTATGCTATTTTTCCTTTTATGAAAGATGCTGTAACTACAGAAAAAAAATGGGGTGACTTTAAAAATGTGACTTCAGAACTCTCGTATTTGCCTTTAAATGCTTTGATTCGGCTTTGTTCATTGGATTTTTCTCATCTGTGTGACCACAACTGCCACCGGTGCCCATTTCTTTCAAAATACGCACTTAATTTTACCGTCAGTGGTAGGAATTGGACAGTTTGAAGGTGTGTAGAAAGAGATGACGCCTGCTCTTCATCCATTCACACTCAAAGGGTTTCAGTAATCTGGCAATAACTGGCATTTAGGTGGAGCTAACCAGTCCATCTCAGCGTAGGTTCAGTTCGTTACGGAGGGCATTGTTTCATCATGTATAAATATTCTTCGCCACACTCCACTCACACTCCGTCGGGATTGTTCACACTGTACAGTAAGATTTATTTTGTCCGTTGTAGTTTTTTATCGTAACATTATTTTAGTGGAACCCTGTGGAACACTTACAGCCATGAACAATCTTATTTAAGCTATCCAGTGCCTTGACACGACGAAGCCAAGTCAGAAAACAAAAGAACCTGTTGTGACGTATTCCTCTGCTAGTCTTAAATGTGGGTTTTTCTGAGTTTAGTCCTACACGGGTGCATGTTTATTATCCTCTTAGAAGTTTGTTCTTACTTTGTTTTTATTTAAACTACATTATCTTTTTCCTTTTAGTTCACTGGAGACTGTGACATGTAGAATTTCGGACTGTTTGTTATGTTTGCGTTACAAGATGAGCGACACTTGTTGGGGCGGGTCGCTGCCATCGCGGACGTCCCGTCTTCAAACCGGAGGAGAGGCGTGAAGTAAAAAACGATTCCCTTCAGTGCAGGATACCAGCAGTTTTTGGAAAGGCAGAAGAAGCTTCTCATAGTGTAACAGTAACGTGTTTTTAAAATGCAGTGGTTTTCGGGTGAGGTTTGCAGTGACAGTAGATGGAGAGAGAGACTGATTGCAACTTCGTGCAGTGCCTTCTTGAAGAAGTAGTTACACATGTTAGCTTTCTTGTCGAGATGTAGGCGAGGAACTGATAGTAAAGTCCTGCCATCTTGCAGCCATCTTGGTAACTCCTTCAGACGTTTTTTTCAGGCTAAACTCTCAAACTCTAAATGAATGAAGAGTATATGTCTAGAAACAGATATTCAATTTGATAAAAACCTCAGAAAATTTGCTGATTTTGGTCCAAACTTTGGTCCAAAATAACTGCCCTGACATGCTACCAAGATGGCTGCCATCTGGTGAGACTTTCCTATAACTTTGAAAGCATCGACAAGTAGCTGGTTAGCGTAGCTTAGCATCAGGATTGGAAAACTGAAGGTTTCATGGCTAACCTGTTGATTTGTGGCCTTCAGAGTTTCAGGCAGGCAGAAACTGAGACAGCTCCATGTTTTCCAACCTTGTTGCTAAGCTAAGCTAACCAGCTGCTACTTGTAGTTCTAACTCTTGCAAAAAAAATTGGATGATACCAGCTATTCCTTTAAGACCAACCATGTTGCTTTCGCTCCCTGATGTGCACTTCCAGCTGTTTGTAAGTAGGTTTCATATTGTTCTGGTTTTGCCGGCTTGTGTATTTATTTGGATTGTTCCTTTAAATAATGTGTATTTGGTGAAACAAACCTTCATGTGTAATGAGTCATTTTTGTTAATGCATTATTTCTGCTTACCAATCCATCTATGATGGGTAGCACAAAACGTCCTCGGCCTCACCTGTAAACGAGGGCCATGACTTCCAGACTGTGAACCTTTTATCGCTCTCTACAAAAAACTCAGATGTTTAAAGCAGTCAAAGAAAAACTGAGCGGAAAGCTTGGAGTTGGAATGCTTTTGTTCCAGGACAATGCGTCCGTCTACATAACACAGGAGGCAGAAACGGCCAAATGTGGCTTTGAACTGTTGCCCCATGAACCGGACTCACCTGACCTGGACCTCCAGACTTCTGGAAGTCAGATGGTTCCACCTGTGCTGTGTGGACGGGTACATTGTGCTGGAGCAGCAGCATGCCAACCCAGCTCTCTGCTTGCCTGCATACCCACCTGGATACCTGCCTACTTACCTGCCTGTATACACACCGACCAACATATCTACCGAGCTACTTATCTACCTAACTACCTACCTGCTTAGTATTCTACTGACCTGCCTACTTCTTTGCTTGTATGCCTACCTACCCACCGTTCTTCCTTCCTTCATTCCTACCTAGCTACATACCTACTTACCGTTCTTCCTTCCTTCCTACCTACAGTGCTTATCTAAAAACTTGCCTCTGTACCTACCTACCAACCAAAACACCTTCCTTCTTAATTGCCTTACAGATTACCTACCTACCTGCCTACTTAACTATCTAGCTTCCTTCTTTCCTTCCAACCTATCTACAAGCCTACCTATATACCTACCTATCAACCAAAATACCTCCCCTCTCAATTACTTTATTGATTACATACCTTCCTTCCTTCCTTCCTTCCTTCCTTCCTTCCTTCCTTCCATCCTTCCTTCCCACCAACCAAAATACCTCTCCTCTCAATTACTTCACTGATTATCTACCTACCTACCCACCTTCCTTCCTTCCTATATACCTATCTACCAACCTACTTGCATGCCTACCGACCAACGAAAATACCTTCCTTCTTAATAACCCAACTGACTACCTTCCTACCTTCTTATCTGTCTTCCCACCAACTTACCTACTTTCCTATTCTTCTGCTTGTCTCCTCACCTTCCTACCCACCTAGCTACCCACCTGCCTCCCTGTTTGGCCTACGAGGACCTGACCTGTGGTCCTGCTGGAGGAAACCCCCCATCGACTCGCTGCTACTGCTGCTGCGTCTCCTTTAATGCCCACATTAATTGCAGTGTTTGCATGATGCTTATTTGCCTTTCAAATCTCACCTGTCCACAACAGCAGCAGCAGCAGCGGCAGCAGCATCCGGAGCTGCTGGGACTGAAAGGAAATGATTCACGAGCAGAACAAAAACACAAAAGGCGTGATTTAGTTTACCTTAGAGCCAACAGGTGAGACTTTAGGGTCTTTTTCAACACACAGCAGTTTAAAAGGAGTTTTTTAAAAACCCACTAAATACTGCTTTCTACTAGTTTCTCCTGTTATATACCAAGAATTTATCAGATATTTTCAGGTACACATCATTCAGAGGGCATCCCGTGCATTTTTTGAGTATCTGTGTGACAACATTTGGCTCAAGTCTCACAGTTTATGTTTCCTGTTCCCTGGAATGCGAACCTGAATGTGAATTTGTCCGTTTATTTGCCTGTGTATTTAGTCTAGGAAAAAAGTTATAACCCTGTTTATGTAACAGGACAAGAGCTGTGTGGCTCTGTGGCGCCCCCTGCTGTCGCTGTGCTGACAGTGTCGACTCCAAAGCTCAAAGTCAGGGGAAATTTGTATCATAAAAGGAGCTGCGACTTTAAAAATACCTGTTGCAGTTACACTTAATAGTTGTAAATTTTCATTGTTTTTCTGTAAATACACAATTTTAACTTGGTGCCTGTTAAATATTTCAATTTAATGGTCAGATCATAGACTGTTTCACATCAGACTGACAGTTAAACATAAAGGGGTACACAGAAAATGAACAGGATAATTCTTTATTACAAGATATCACCATGAAACTTCCCCAGTTAACTGCTTCCAATAAGGCGATATGTTTTGGATTACAAGTTTTCAGAAATTACACATTTAAATATGCAAATTAGGTTTTCTTTATCTGACAATGTCCAAATTTGCATGAATTTCCAAAACAGAAACCTGAAGCTATGATGAATTCAGCTTCAAAATTTATGGAGGGTTTTTTTTTTATTGTTTAAATATTAAAGGGAATCAGAAAACATCAGAAAACACTGTGAGCAACTAAGAGGGAAAAATTCTGATTTCTCCATGTTTTGAGAAATAAAATGTTCTATTAAAAAAGGCTGGGATTGATATATAAACAAACCCCTCTGTAAAAACATTCAGAACATATATATATATATACATATATAAGAATAAAACTGGATGTAAGAGGCACTGAACTGGCGATTTGTGAATTAGAGGAGAAGGAAAAACTCACTTTTATTGGAAACCATAAGTGTGACTGACAGATATCAGCATGGAACTTCTTTCCATTAAAACAATAATTTTTTTTGCAACGCACGTTTTCATAAATGCTATGTTAATGTCTTATATCCCATATGCAAATAAGATATTGTCATTAAATATGCACTAAATAGAATAGAATGCCTTTATTGTCACTATACACATGTACAATGAGATTGAGAGCAGCTCCTTCAGTGCAATATAGAATAGAGTACATAATAAAGAGCAAAAAAATAAAAAAAAATAGAATAGATTTAAGTATAAAATAAAAAAAAATGTCCATCAGACAAACGACAAACTCCAAAGTACGCATTTTGAATTGTTCTGTTCCTCAGTTAATCTACGAGCAGATATTTTTTGTAAGCAAAGTCACACCAAAATGTTAAAATATATCAGTACATGAAAAACTGTTATTGTTTTGGTGCTGTCACCTGACCAACAACAGAGGGCAGCAAAGGCTAATTTCCGCATCGAACCACATTTGTTTTTATGGTTAAACCCTGTGTGGTTTTAGGTTTTAACTATTTATTATTTATTTGTGTTTGTTTTAATATTTAACTGCAGGTTCCCTAGCTGTAAAAGCCTTTTTTTTTATCAGTAAAATACAAATAGACGTTATTCCGTGACGAGCCATTGTTTGTCTGATTTGATTAGCCAATCAGGAGCCACGTTCTGACCTCGCCTCCTGTCAACACACGACGGCGGACCAATAGGAGCAGAGGGCAGGACGAAAACAGGAAATGCAAACAAGAGCCGTGGATAATACAACTTTTCACATGCTTGGTAAATAACGGTGCTGCTAGCTCCTAATGAGTGGCGGAGTTAACCAAATTAGATATTTAAAGTTAAAACAGATCAGAGAGAAAATAAACCTTCCGAAAGTGTTGCGCTAAATGTTCCTCTGCGTGTCAGAACGAGAGTCGGTGTCAGATATGGGCGGGTTGTGTCCCTATACGGCTCTGGCTGCAGTGTGAAGTTGGTAAATACGCTTTGACCTCGTGGAGGAGAGACAAACTGGATTAAACGCTGCCAGCAGCTGCAGCAGGAGGACGAGGACGAGTCCTAAATAACCGGGAGCTCCTGCTGCTAGCAAACCGAGTCCCGAGGAGAAGAAAGGACTCGTTGAAGTGCTGCTCCAGCCAAATAAAGTGACTCGTTTGACCTCACTTGGTGTGTCAGAGTCGCAGAGAGCAGCAGCAGCAGCAGAGACTCTGCACCGCGGCAGCTGGTGAGTCCCTGAAACACTCATAAATTAGCCTGTTGTAGCTCATAGATACATGCTGTGTGTGCAGGTGTCCCTGTTAGACCCTGTGTTCAACCTGATTCCGGTGCAGCTTCTCCCTGCCCTGTGACGAGCCTCATGTTTATGGCTGCCTGTACTTCTGCAAACTTCAGCTCCCTGCACACACACACACACACACACACACACACACACACACAGAGGGGCTTTATTCTGCCGCTTGACCCGTTTAACCTGCACTTGTTCCCTCTTAGAGCAGCTATGGATTAAATGCATGTTTAAACACTTGACAGCGTGGGTTTTGTTTGTGCGGAATGTGGTGGCCGCCTGCCCGCCATCGAGTTAATTATTGCACAATTTCAATGCGCCACTTGTGCTGGTGTGGCTTTGGTTTACAAAACCCTTCGGAAACTGCGCTCGAACCAGGCCTGTCGCGATATGAGAGTTTTACTACACGATTATGACGACGAAAATAGTTTATTAGGAAGATATTACTGCAGTATTTATAGAGAAATTGAAAATAAACGTTGCCACACTTTTTGCAAAATATTGTGAAGCACAGGGATGTCGCGATATACCGAGTTTTAAGGATAATCGTGACATTGGAAAGGTGCAATATTGATATAATGTTAATAATGCACATGTAAACATTTTAGTTGACAATCCAGTCCAGTAGGAGGTTTGATTGCATGAATAGCAGGTGTTTGGATTTATGGATATTTAGTTTTTTCGTTGGCTGTCTATTAGGTTTAACAGGACTGTCGTGACATCACAATTTCACTACATGATTGTCACGACCGAAATAATTCAGCATAACGATAATATTGCAATAGCTAAAGAGAAATAGAAGAAAATATTGTCCCACTTTCTGTAAAATACTGTTTAAATGGTGATGTCGCGATATACAGATTTAGACAATAATCGTGACATTTGAAAGGTTCAATACTGACGTCTTGTTATGATGATATTATAGATAATCCATTATCAGGAGGAGGTTTGATTGTACAAATGGCAGATGTTTGGCTTTTTGGATATCTTGTTTATCTCCTCATCTTGTTTCCTTCAGTGTCCGTTAAGTTAAATAGGACTGTCACGATATAAGAGTTTTCCTACATGATTATCACGACCTAACGAATTTGCTGTGAAGATAATATTGCAATATCAGTGGAGAAGTTGAAGAAAATAATTCCACGCTTACTGTAAAATACTATTTTTATGGCAAAAAATTGTGTAAAATTGCGAGGAACGAGAATGAAAAATATCTATGAACAAAAACAGTTTGATATTTAAAGAGAAAACAACATCCAGCAGTCAGGAATTTCAACATTTTTATTAAAATTTTAACCGTCTCTTGTATGTAAACAGGCACTTCTTTATGTACACGTGTCCTTTTAACCTACTTGTTTGAACAGAGTGTAAATGGACTGACGTGAAATGTGAGAAAACCCGGTGTAATCTAACTACTTCACTAAACATAGAGTCCACGCGATGACAGAAGCTCATCGCAAATTATAGAACGACGGCCAGTAAGTAACGAGAGACTACGCCGCAGAACTGATCGAAGGCAGGAACGAGGTCATCTCTTATAAATATAGTGTTCGTTAAAGAGCGGTGATTATTGAAAACATTTTAATGTGAGGTTAAATATTCAACGTCTCCTTTATGTAATACTACTGTTAAAAAAACATGTTGGTCTGAGACATTATCATAATATTTAATGTTTAACCTGGTTATTGTCATTTTGATGGAATAAAAACTTTGATAATAGTAGTTTATTTTCCCACTGCAAATTTTTTGAAACTGAATTTGTACTGACATTTATTTTACTTTATCAGGTGTATTCATGCATATATACACACTGACAATGTGTCTTTACAGTCACTGAATAATCAGAGTTATTAGGAGTTTATGTTGCCGGATGTGTTGAGCAACAATAATAGTTTTAATATTCACTAGAGGATAATGGACCAACGTGCTTTATCTAGAACAGTTGTTGTACTTTAAAGTACACGTCACAGTGTCAGATTTTCTCTACGTGATTATTGTGACCAAAAGTTTTCTCAATAACAACATTATAAACGTACGTATAGAACAAGTGAAGCTCGACCGATACTGGATTGTATTGAATTTTATAGTGTTATTAAAAAGTTGAAGTAATCTAGTCGTTGTTTTATTAATTATCCAGCAATGCAATTCACAAAACCAGCTAGCGAGTTGACTCTGCACCGCTACATGCGCTGCAGGCAGTGTTGGCAGGAGAACTGTAGCTGCCCTGCTGGACAAACTGTGTAATGACAGCCGCGATAACAATAATACAAAGATACCTATAGAACGTTTCACAACTAAATTACACAAAAACATTTCAGCACAAAGAGTCTGGAAGTATAACTTTAGATTATGTTGTTTTTATGTTAGATTATCAACTAAATAAAAGAGGATTTTTAATGATATTATTACATGTTTATTATCAACATAATGTCCATATTTCATCTCTTAAGTACAGCTATCGTCGATGCTGCGACACCACGGGCACAGGTGTTGTTCTTATGTTGGATTGTCAACCAGACAGCTGCTAAGCCTGTATTTTTAGAACATTATTACGTGTTTATTATCAACATAATGTCAGTATTTCATCTCTTAAATATGCTTACCATCATCGCTGCATCACCCCTTGTACAGGATTTATTTTTATAGGATGATTTCCTTTTTTTAAATTTATTAAAAGAACACTGACTCAGTGTTCTGCAGCGTTTCAGGGAACATGTCGTCCACGTTTCCCCTCTCGGCTGCACAGCGAAGCGTTCGGGATCAGCGGTGATGCCGGACCGTCGGGTTATTTCTACAGCAGCCCGACAACAGCTGAGGCCCACACGTGTGTTCGTCGACCACGCAACCGCAGTTATAGAAAATAAAATAGCGGTGCAGTTGTTGTTCCTGAACGCTGCAGAGGAGGAGAGAGGCTCGTGTTGGCCCACACAGAACAAGTGGGAAGCGGCTCAGTAGGTCATGTTTGGTGATGAACAGTTTAGTTTTCTTCATGTAGAGCAGCTGAAGTCATCTCAGGTCACGTCACGCACCAGGAGAGGACCTGAACATGTCCGATTATGAGGAGAAACTCAGCCGAGGAGGTTTTTTGTTGTTGCTCGTGTTACCTTTTCCATCACTGCAGGCTCATTTTTAACCGGAACATGAAGTCCTGCATCTCTGTGGAACCAGAAAAATCATGGCTAGAAAAAGAGCAAGAACTCAACGACATGTTTTGTGCTGTTTGGCACCATGACAGTGTCATCAATTAAAAAAAAAGACAAAAACAAAAGGTGAATGTCTCGGATTTCTCAATTCGAAAACACCTGAACTCAACACCTGTGACATTTTCAAAGGCGTCACAAACACTTGAGGAACAAATACCAGCTCCACATGCTGTAAATATTTCACCAGTTATTTATGGAGCATTTATTTTATTGATGCAGTATAAACTTATCTTGTGTGGGACATGACACGGTTTTAATGCCATAATTCACCGACAAAGAAAGTCTTTCATGTTTCAGGTCACAAAAAATAAAAAAATAAAAACTAGAATAAACGTATTTAACATTTTTTTTAAGTGCTCACAGGTTTTCCCAAAAGAAAAATACAACAAAACGTGGCTTTACATATCATATATATATGTTTTACTATTTGTAGTTTGTTTCCATCTTTATCTAAAAACGCTGCCAATGAGTGCAGAATTTCTGATTTCTTGCACTTGATCTGGCAGTTACTTAAATGAAACCTGCACAATACGGTGATTTTGAATTTAAAGCTTTGATTGGGGTTATTTTTTTCCCAACGAAACCCAAAGTGACACCCGGCGAGTTCACGGAGCGTCAGAAGCTTCTCCGATCAACTGTTGGTGTTTCGAGGTAACAAAAGACAACAGAAGGTACAAACTCGATGACAAGACGTTCCTGGTTTTGACGGCGCCGAGCAGGTGAAAGCAGGATGTTGTGAAACGTTGTTTTACGAGCAGGTTAAAGGACACAACCTGGTCCAGAATAACTCCCAGGTTCCTCACGGTAGAGCTGGAGGTCGAGGTAAAGTCATCCAAGGCTGCCACCTGATCAGACGGAGGCTTTCTGAGGAGTTCAGGGACAAACAGGGACTTGGATTTTACCTGGTATTGTTTATATACGTTAGAATTTCATTAAGAAGTGAAAATGATAGACTAAATGTTTATTAACTTCCTGGAAATGTCACGATTTTACGGCTGGATTTAGTGAATTTTCCAGAAGAAACATAAAGTTGCTTATGATACGTTCAGGTAACGTCGGAAAGTTTAATATCCGGTCTTTTTTTTCTGTTTGTACAGTTTCTGGCTCAGATAAATGTTGGGATTGCGATGATTTTTTCTTTTTAAAAGACAATGTATATTTCAAAGCCGGTAGATTGTGGAGTCCAGAGAGTTACAGCGTCCACACGAACTCCACAGCATCATGGTGGATATTGTTTTTAAATAAATGTGTTTCTAGTGTTTCTACCATGAAGACACAACTTGACTCCACACCGCCGTCTGCTCTGCTACATGCGCTGCGAACAGTGGAACCAAAGTTGCTCCTCTAGATGTGACGACACAGTTTATATGTTTCCTCAGGTGTCGTTTTCAGTATTATGTTGTGCAAAAGAACGTTTTAGTGCCACCATATATCTGAAAAAACAATATCAGCCAATAAAAGACGATTTCTTTGGTCGGCCTTAAGAAAAAAGTTGCCATACATTTTGGTATTTGTCGTGACAATATTGAATTAATATTTAAAAAATAAGTACAAAGCTGGTGTAAATATCTAATCAAAATATTATTAAAATTGTAATATGGCAAAATAAAATACCACAACCACAGGAGGAGCTTTTTTTTTATTAAGAAAAATGCATCAAGACATTTTAAATAAAGTCTTGTGATGTTTATTTGGTGCAGACTGAATTAAAATGATAAATGAAAATAAATGCGAAAAAAAATCCCACTGAAAGCCAAAATAATCACAATCTGACTTTTAGCACACTGGAGTTTGAGAAGCTTTTTGTATTTCAGGTGTTTTCTTTTATTATTTAACATTTCGTCAGGTCCGTTTTCAAAATCCCAGAACTCAGAGTGGCCAAAAGTCTAAATGTTGCCACGCCAGCGCACACGAATAAGACAGAGCGAGTATTTTTATCTCCTGCCATGCCTCTGGTCCTTTATCTGACGGAGCGCTCCGGTCTGAGGAGGACGAGTGACCCACTTTCTGCCTGCGCTGCAGCGTTCGCGGCGCTCCAGACATGCTCACGCGTTGCTTCGCCTCTTTCTGCAGCAGCTTTTTTTCCACTGGCCCAAATCCCGACTGAGCCGTGTTGAAGCACGCCGCCACGCCCACGGAGCAGCACCTGGAGCTCCACAACAAACCCGCTGTGTGGACAAGACTCCCAGAAATGCACGAGCGTGTTTATGCGTCCTTAATTTAACTGTTGCAGGCATCGCGGTTTAATAATGGGCCGACTGTATCCGACTGTACATGATCCAGGCGGGTATTTTTGGAAAGACCGTGTCGTATTTTTAGATAAGACTTAACCCCGTGAACTCCAAACGGCTTCTAGATGGTTTTATCTTGGTCTTTAGGCTCATTTTTAACTGGAACATAAAGTCCTGCACCTCTATGGAAACAGAACAACCATGAACAGACGAAGTTAAAAAAACGAAACAATGAAGGATGAATTTATTTTTACAAAAAATGACAAAAAAAAAACACCTGAAACAAATATATGGTGGATTTTAAAGTGTCCAAATGTGAGTTCATCAGCTGTAGAAAGATGTTCCACCATCAGAAAGATGTTCCACCATCAGCTGGATGTATCCAGCTCCTCTGTTCTCTGGTTCTGATCCGTGCTGCGTTTATTTTACGGATCCAATACGTTGGATTTTATGCTCTGGGAGAGCACTGCCTGCAGTTCAACCTGTAAACTCCCTGAATTTTTGTCACGTGACTGTTAGTCGCAGGTTAATCCCGAAAAACTTTTTGTTTGCGCAGAGGTTTGCAGAATTTTTTGGTTTTGCGCGGGATTTGGTTAAAACAAACGGTTTATTTTCTACAGATTTTTAAAGAGATTTTTTGAGTTCATGACTGTTGGTCACAGCTGAGTCAGCAGTACTGAGGAGCTCAGAATTATTATAGAATCTGGTGCGAAAGATTTATTTTTGAAAGATATTAAATTGAAAAAATAATTTAAAAAGAAAATCAAGAGTGTTTCTGAAATTTTGTTCACAACTCAAAGATGTTCAGTTAAAGTCACAGAGAAGTAAAGAAAACACATGAAATATTCACATTAAAGTAACTGGAAACAGAGAATGTAGACTTATTTTTAAAAATCTAAATAATTCATTGTTATTATTATTACAAATAATAAGAAACTTAAAAAGAATAACAACAATAATAATAATTTATGAATGAGTTTACAGCAGAACAGAAACAACAGAAATCCAGTCAGTGCAAATAACAGCAGGAAGACCAGAGAAGTACATTTAGAGAAATATAGTTAAACACATTATTACCACAACAACAACAACAACAACAACAGATACGATGTTAAAAGAACCAAATACATTTCATATCCAAGTAAAGAAAACAAACAAGTGGAATAAAAGAAGCTGGAGGGTAGAACTGTCAAGACAAGACTACAAGTAGTAATAATAATGATCATAGTAAACAGTTAATAACTAAGAAGTGGTGTGGTAGAACTTTGTGTAGAAAACAAGCTCATAAAGTGAACCAGCAGAACTGTTCCAGACTCGTCCTGTATTCTCAGCTCCCACGTGCAGCAGCAGCAGCAGCAGCAGCAGCTCCTCTGTTGTTGAATGCGTTGGTCCAAACAGGGATTGGAGGTCGGCAGTATTTTTAGACAAAGTCATCTCAAGATGTGACAGCTGTGCATGTGTTCCCGTCGGCGCTGACGACAGCCTTTACTCTCCGTCCGTCTTTGTTTGTCGCTTTTAGCTGGTTGTTGAGCAGTTTGTACGTTCCAGCGCCGCCGGCCTGAAGTCTTATATACGTCTGTGTTTGCTCCGTCTCTCTTCAGTCCGTCATGGCCGGAGATATGATGCTGCTGATGCGAGGGCTGGCGAAGCTGAGCAAGGCGGTGGCCGAGACTCAGAGCAACGCCCTGCGCTCCGGAGCCGGTAAGACTTCACTCAGTTTAACCCTCAAGATGTTCCTCCATCAGCTGGATGTATCTCCACCAACCGGCTCCTCTGTTCTCTGGTTCTGATCCATGCTGCTTTTATTTATGGATCCAGTTCACTTTATTTTCCCCTCAAGGTCTCCTGTCGTCTCTGTTTTGTCTCATTTTGTCTCGTCTTTGCCGTCTCGTGTCGCTTTTTTGACCTTTTGTGTCTCGTTTTCGTTGCTTTCTGTGATGTTTTTATTGATTTATCTCTCTTTATGTCTCGATATTTAACTATTTCCATTCTTAAAACCTCTACAAACTTTTCCTCCCTACTCTGCTCATCATCTCTACAAAGACGTTCCACCATCAGCTGGATGTATCTCCAACACCCGGCTCCTCTGTTCTCTGGTTCTGATCTGTGCTGCTTTTATTTATTTGTGGATCCAGTAGGTTGGATTTTCACCTGAAAACACCTGGAATTATCCAGTTTCTCCAGGATCCGGCTTAGTTTTTAAATGACATGTAGAATAAAGTGATTTTAAACTTAGATTTGGTTGATTTTTGTCACGTGATTAGTTCAGGGGCTGTCGGAAAGTTGAAAATCTGATCTAATGTTTCTGTTTACAGGCTAATAAACATTCAATAAATGCTAAATGTGTTGGATCTTGCAGTCTCCATTAGGTTGGGCTGGATTAAAAGTTGTGAAAATGTGGAGACGTTACTCCAAAAAATAACTAATAAATCCCAGAAATGCGTTTGTGTAGCGCTTTTATCCCCATGAAGGTAACACCAGAGGCTGTCTGACCAGTGAGACTTTGGTTGGATGAAAACATATCAGACCATTTTATGGACATATTCTCCTAAAACAAAGTGTATAGCAGCAGATTACAGCTATGAACTGTCTTGTGTGTGTGAGCAGGAGTGGAGGGAGTGGGAGCTGCTGTCCAGAGCGTCCAGTCTGCAGCAGAACAAGGCCTCTCTGCTGCCATGATGAAAATACAGGTAGAACATCTGGACTCTTCTCTGTCTTACATTTCCTTCTACAAGCTGCTGTGGAAGGCTGTTTCCTCAGCAGTTTATTAGAGATCTGTGTTTTTCTTCAATTTCTGATCTTTAAATGAACAAAAATGTCTGTACGTACATAATCTACTATGCAGGATTATTCTTATTAATACCAGCGTCACATCTGTTCAGATTGTTGTCCAGTTGTTTTTATCTGGTGCTGTAGGTTTTGTATGTCTGCGTATGTATTTTGTGTTTGAGTTTTGCCAGTTAAAAGAAATACAGCTTATGAGATCTCTGCATTTTCCTCCTATTTCTATTTTATTGTGCAGTAAAAACCTTATTATTACGTCTATTTTTTTTGTTTTTTTTAATGCAATACAGTAGTTTTTGGTGATCTACGTATATGTTTTGTGAATTTTTGCCACTGATGAGATTTGCTGCTTCACATTTGTACGTTTTAATAATATTTCTGACATTCTGATGAACAAAAATGTTTATTATTATTTAGTAAATGAAACTCCAGTTGACAAAAACGAAATTGAGTATCTGTTTTTATTTTCACTTCCAATCATTATAGCCTCTGTAGTTGTTCCTCTACATAGGAGAAACTCCATCAAAGTTTGTTTTCAGGCCTCTAGAAGTGTTTTTTTTTTCCAGGAGATGTCCGGCCAGCAGCAAACCTCGTCGTCGGAGTCGGACTTTGACTTTCCTCAGGACGACGCTGCGTTTGCGTCCTCAGAGTTCAGGGAGGACGGATCGGACTTCAACGTGGATCCTACGGGAAGCGGTGAGGACGCGGCGGCGGCAGCAGCATCGAATGGCGTCGGAGGGAAACAGTCGCTGTTTGACGGATACAAAGATCCCAGCAGCCAGTTCGGCGGACAAACCAGGTCGTACCACCAAGACGCCAGGTAGTCCGAGTCACTGATGCTCTGGCTGGATGCAGGTTGTTTAGTTTTGTCTGATTGCATTTTGTTATCATCTATGTGAGGGCAGCAGAGAGTTGATTTTTATTGATTTTATTTATTTATTGCTCTCCTTTGAACCCGTTTTTACAAACAGTGGACAAAAAGCAAAATGTGGTTTTATATGATTGCATTTATTTTAATCAGTTTCATTTTATTTCATTTTGTCGTCAACATTTTTTTATTATTATTATTATTTTTGGTCTGTGGCTGATGATGATTTTATTTTATTTTATTTTTTTGTTTTTGTTTTTATTAATTTTAGTTTGAGTTTTCAGTTTTGCACGTGTAATTTAGTTTATTTTGTTTTATTTTTTAATTAATTTTATTTTAGTTAGTTTTGATTAATTTTAATTATTTTTTATTTCTGTTTATTTTTACTATTTGGCTTATTTTATCTCATTTTTATTTAATTTTATCTCACTGGTTTTCCTCATTGTGTGTGCTATTCAGGCTGTTTATTTTATTTTATTTTGTTTTCATTAATTTGTATTTTATTCTAATATTTTTTTACATTTGTAATATTTATTATAATTTTTTTTGGATTTTTTAAACCTATTTATCTTATTTTATTTCATTTTATCTCACTCTGGTGTTTCCTCCTTGCATGTGTTAACTTTCCTCCGTTCTCAATCTTTCATTTATAACGTGATGTTGAATGTCGGTGTTGTTTTATTGCACTGCCTGCTGTGTAAATCAGGTCTGACTGATGCCTTGTGTTCATCAGACACTTCCTGGGCCGCCAGCGTCTCTACAGCCACAGCCTGAACAGACTGGCGTGGACACAGCAGCGTTTCTACCACCAGGACCCGTCCAGCGTCGGAGGCCTGACCGCCGAGGACATCGAGAAGGCCCGACAGAGCAAACGGCCCGAGATGAAGCCGCACAAGCAGATGGTGACTCCTGCACTCGTCCTTATTCGTCTGCTCTCCGTTCGCCGTCACAGAAAACTAACTCCTGTGTTTTCTGCAGCTCAGCGAGAGAGCCAGAGAGAGGAAGGTCCCGGTGACTCGGCTCAGCAGACTCGCCAACTTTGGAGGTAAAGAAACCTCTTTTCCGTCTTCACTGCGTCTGAATGTTGATGATTCATCGGCTGCTTCTGACTAAATCTGAAGTCACGAGTCTGTGTGCAAATCTACACGTCTGCTGAAGCCCTGCAGACAGAATTATGATCTAACACGAGATTTCAAGGTGCTGAAGCTTATTGGAGCCTCTTATTATGTATTTTATAGCATTTAGACGTATTTTAAAATGTTTTAATTCATATTTTATAGTGTAAAGATGTTTTTTAAAATGTGCTGAGGCGTATTTTCTACTTAATATATCTGTTCTATTTGTGGAGATGGTTGAAATAACAACAGGCACGAGACAAATCCATCAGTTATGGTGCGAAAATATCCAAATTAAATGGTATTTTCTAGTGTTAAGACAGGTTTTATAATTTTAACATGTATTTTATATTGTAAAGACATACTTTAAAATGCGTTAAGGTGTATTTTATGGTATTAAGATGTATTTTAAAATGTCTTTATTCATATTTTGTAGTGTTAAAACTTATTTAATAGCGTTAAAATGAATTCTAAAACATGTTAATTCGTATTTTATAGCATTAAAACTTGTTTTATAGTGTTAATACTGACTTTATAGTGTAAAGATGTATTTTAAAATGTGTTAAGACGTATTTTCTACTGAATATATGCTTTCTATATGTGTAGCTTGTTGAAATAACGACAGGCACGAGACAAATCCATGAGTTATGGCAGGAAAATATTAAAATTAAGGCGTATTTTATAAAATTAAGTTGTATTTTATAGTGTTAGGACTTATTTTTTAGTGTTAAAACGTATTTTATGGTGTTAACACGTGTTTTCTACTGAATATAAATAGACAATTCCAAGAGTTATGGCCTGAAAATATAATTAATAATTCATATTAATAACTTTAAGGGAAGCAGAGCGAAGTATCACGACACAAACTAAGAAATAAACACTATTTTCATTTAGTAATTTAGGAGAATATGCTCAGTATGATATGAATTTATCATCGATTAAATTGAGCGACAGCAGTGACGTCATTAATTATTGATTGAATTGTTGATTATTTCTGTTCGTCCTCTGAGGCGCTAACGTGACCTGAAACCGAGTCAGTGAAGGTCTCGTAGCGCCGTCTTTAAGTCCGGGTCGCCGGGTTCAGGCCGCTCGCTGTCGATATGAGAGGTCGTGACCTTCTCCAGGTCTGAGCAGCGACACGCACCAGCGTTCGCTATGAGCAGCAGCAAACGCTGAAGGAACGGCAGGTCTGAAGGGAACAACAGAGACGTGAAGCGGCTGTCAAACCCTGCAGCAGAAACCAGGTCAAGCCTCCCCGGGTTTTATTAGTGGACCTTTGTTCCTGTCCGGATCTAAAAAAAAGAAAACACCTTGTTAGTCCGCTCACAGCGAGACGGCCTGATCAGTCCTGCAGCACTTCATACGCTGGAGTGTTTCCACGTCTTAGCTCAACGTTTAACTGTGTTCGGGTCGAAGGTGAAGTCAGCAGCTCAGGTCCAACAAACCGTCCGTCAGACTGAATCTCTTCACAAAACTGCTGCTCTGCAAGAAGCAAACAAAGACGATGACTCATGCTGAGCCACGCAGGAATAGTCCGGCGTGCACGTCTGTGCTGGTGCACGAGACCGGTTGAAAGGTGGAGGAGAAGGAGGGAGGGAGGGAAAGCATCGGGCCAAAGCTGGGACATTTTATCCGTCTGAATACCAGCAAGCTTTCTGCACAAACATGTTTAAAACACACAAAAAAAACCTGCCAGTGTGACGTAGAAATGAATCTAAAACATACGTAAAATAGGAATAAAGTAGTTCAAACCCTCTGAGTGATCTCCGTCATGCATAAACTGATTATTAACCAGTTTACAAACGTCTACAGCTGCTTTTTTCTGGACGAAACGGTTCCATTTATTTAAATCTGTGGCGATAACAAAGGTACGTCTCCACAAGTTAAGCAAAACACAGCAGAAATGTTCTCGCCATTTTGTTTTTAAATCGTGAACTACAAAACAAACACCGTACCCCGCTGTACAGACAGTTTGAGTCTTTATTCCTTAAATCTAATCGTATTTATTTATACAGAACGTTTAAAACAACCAGCAGCAAAATGAAGACGTGCAAACATCAAGTCAGGGTGAAACTAGTGAATGCACATGTTAAAATAGGATAGAAGTGATAATAGTGAACTTTATTTCTCTTGCATCTTTCAAAACTGGTGTCAGAAAATGCTTTACATGGCACGAAAATACACAGAACATCAGAGAAAACAATAAATTATAATGAAATAACAGAAAAAAAACACAAAACAGCCACAGCACCTCATAAGATCATCTTCTAAAAACATAAATCTGACATTAGGCCCATTAAAAGCAGCCAAAATCCGTTTAATAGTTGTGCATCTTGAGGTTTTTCTTGAAAGCATCAACAGAGAGGAACCATGGACGGCTTCGGCGTCTGCAGCTTCAGAGGCTGAGCTGCTCCTGAGTCTCTTTGTTCTCACCGACTGTTTCTCCGTCTCCACGTAAAAGTATTCGGATAATAAACAAGCGCTATAAACTGAAGTTGTCCAGCTGCAGTCGGCGGACGACAACGACGGACCTGCACAGCTTCCATCACTGTTTTACGCTTTGTTAGTTTACAGAAATGACGTTATTTATCCAACTGGAGGTGCCACGCATGCTTTGGCAGCTCCTTATAAGAAAGACAAAGTAAAACATGCAACTGAAACTTAGAATAGAAGTAGAAATTGCTGAAAATTTCTACTCATGCAATACAAATCAACCGTTACAGAAGATATTTAACATAATATTGACCATTTCTTTTGAATAAATGAGCAGAATCAGCTGTAATCTGACGCTTAAAATGCTCCGTTCATTGAAAACATGCAAAATAGATCAAATGTGTTGGTTTAAATGTGACATCAGAGCATTTTCTGTCACTCTTGTCAAAGTACCTTCAGGTTTAGCAGCTGTTTGAGCTGCTGAGTGGAGACTAGAGGCTTCTCTGTGCACCGCTAACCTGCTAGCGTCTGCTTTAGCCTGCACGTGGCCTCTGAGATGCTCTGAATTCACGTGAAGAGTCTCGTTTTAGTGCAGATTAGCGAAGGCGAAGGCTTTTCTGAGCTCTACCTCGTATCTCGCGGGATGTTTTTCAGCGATAATCTCACGCGGCGAGGCCTTAATGTTCACACGGCGGAGAGCTGCTCTGACAGCAGCCATCACGGCTTCATTACAGACGGATACGAGAGCAGGTGGCAAAAAACCGAACGCCAGAAATGTGGAGGAGGAGATCAGCTGGACTCGAGTAAACCTGAGATGGCAACACAAACATGTGCAGCCTCATTCCCAGCAGGTTACGGAGGCGGCAGGTAGCGTCCACGTTGGGTCGGCATGTTGACGGCGGTAACATTTAGAAGGTGCTGAAAAGGGGAGGAGGAGGAGGCGCTGCAGGAATCTGGCCTCGGCCTCGTCCTTCACCTCCGTCCAGTTGCACAAGTTTCAGTTTTGGAAGCGATTCACGGAGCCGTAAATCTGTCCCTCACGGACGGAGGTTTTCTGAGGGTTTGTGAGGAAACGTTACGAATGTGGGTCGGATGACGGACGGGCGCTTGTGCTCGTTCTGGAAAAACATCAGCGAGGAAACGCTGATCCGTCTCTGGCTGCCGACTGATTTATGCGTACAGTTACACGACGCTGGCTCGTCCTCTCTGCGCTTTAAATCCTCGCTAAAGCAGGGAATAAAACGGGGATGTCACGCCGGATCGGTTTGCACGACTCGACATGTTTTTATTGGAAAGGCCTTGAAGCGGGCGCCCCTACAGCTCACCTCGCTGAGCCCGTGAACAGGGCCGTGGTTATGGACACAGCGGTCGTGGGTTCGACTCCCTTTGCTGCAGGTCTGTTCTTCTGCCCCCTCTACTGCTCTAAATAAAGGCAAAAGGCCCCCCTACCCAAAAACAAGACCTCGAAACACTTGTACACAAGCCGATGAAGCACACCGTGTCCTGATCTGCCGTCGCATCTCAGATTTGCCGCTTCAGAGCGAGAGAGAGCTGACTAACGGATTATGTAATGCCGAGTTATGCAACGAGAGGCTCGGCTCGCCAACATCCCCCTCCTCCTCCTGCAGCCTGTCACTTTCTCATCATCATCATCTGCTGATAAAAGAATTCCTGCAGCTTCGTTCTCTGACGACTGGATGATTGATTCGCCGTCGTTTGTTGCAGCTGCTGCTGCAGAACAAACAAACAGCGAGGCGGTCCGAAGGTTTACCCGCTTAAAATTTGTCTCGTGTTTTCCCGACGGCGTTCTGATGGAAGCGATACCGACACGTGGCCTCATCTATGGGTTTATTTTGGGGCTGTAGCGAAGGAGAGAAAATCCAGGCGGCTTGAAATCGAAGCTGCTTTCGAGCAAATCGATGGATCGCAGGAGAAGAAACGGATCACCTGCTAGCCTCGTTGGCTTAAATGCACTCCACATGAACATAAAAAGTGACATTGAGGAGAATATCACAGAGAAGAACAAAATGCAGGAACACCAACTTTAGTGTCAGTTAGTTTAAAACGAGTTAGAACGTAGAGTTTGGCAGTTTATCGGAATTAAATGTTAAATTTCAATCATTTCTGATATTTTTTGACAAATTTTAATGATTTTTTTTCATTAACACTCAAAGAAAAATGATTCAAGTTGAATTTAACCGTTTTATTTATGAAGATATTCAGGTAATCATTTTATTTACAGTTAAAAACACCCCAAAAACTACATGTACACACACAAACAAAACATCCATCCATCATCTCTACACCTTAATCCTCACTAGGCTCATGGGGGGCTGGAGTCTATCCCAGCTGACTCAGGGTGAAGGCAGGTTCACCTGGACAGGTAACCAGTCTATCACAGGGCTACACTTAGAGACAGACAACCAAGCACACTCACATTCACACCTACGGACAATTTAGAATCACCAATTAACCTCAGCATGTTTCTGGAGAACCCGGAGAGAACCCACGCTGCACGGGGAGAACATGGAGACTCCATGCAGAAAGATCCCGGGTGTCCTCACTGGGACGCCAACCGGCGACCTTCTGGCTGTGAGGCAACGGTGCTAACCACTGCTCCACCTGCAGCCCCTACAATCAAAACAAATAAGGATTAAAAAACAACAACTACTACTGAGGTTCATGTGTCCCCCACATCAGTGCAGGCTGCATGAAGGCATCTCTTAGCCGGAGGTGATCTTTATATTTTTTAAACATGAAGCCGGTCTCAGTTCCTGCCAGCTTCCACCAGTGGAGGTGTGACTGGAGTTTCCAGGTGGCAGCAGACTAGCACACCTCAGGAGACCTGCACAACCAGAGGGCGAGGTGGCTCCATCACCAGGAGATGTGATGGAGCAGGTTTGGAGTTTGTTCAGACAGCTGAACTCGGTGTTGTTGTTCTGTGCTTTAGTGGTGGTTTGAGGCATTTAGGTGAAACTAGCAAACATTTAATCATTTATTCTTACTGATGATGTGTCTATCGCTGGTGTGTGTCGCTGTTGTTTTATTTCCGACACTTGCTCAACATCATTATCTCGTCTAAATGTGCAGCACAGAACTGTCACGAAAGCAGCTTCGTAGTGACGACTCCGTGTCCTGCACGACCACAGTGACTCAGAAACTATTGTGAAATGTGAAACAGAAATTTGTAAAACTCCCAAATTTCTGAATCAGAGCTGCTCAGACTCACTATCATCCACTAAAGCTCCCACAGCGAGGCAGAGAGGACGTCATGATGTGATGTAATCATGGAAAGACCAAAGCTTTTGTCTCTAAAACATCTAAAACCATCTGTTAATCATGGACAAGAATAAATGTTGGGAAAAATATGACCAGCAGGCTGCTTTTTAAGTCTCAGCAGCTGTGTGTTTGCATTAGAAACTGGTTTGTTCTGATTGTGTTTCCGTGTCTGTGTGTCTGCTGCAGGTCTGGCTGTCGGTTTGGGTATCGGAGCTTTGGCCGAAGTCGCCAAGAAGACCATCAGACACAACGGAGCTGCAGGTAAAACACTGGTGGTTCACAGCTTTACAGAAACAAGCCGCGGCCTCGGTGTGTTTGTGCTGTTTACAGAAGCCAATAACGTGATGATTTAAAGCCTCTTGACAGAGTTGCACAACATGCAGAGATTACACAACGGCCTTGTTATTAAGAATCACCACCTCTGTGAGAGCTGCCCATCCCTGGTGCGTGTTGCTGCACGCCGCAGGCCGGCCCAGCAAACGAGATGAAAAATAAAAGCGTAATTAGGCCGCCTCGTTTACCAAACAGACTCTGCAGCTCTGTAATCCTGAAACGAAGGCTAAGCCCAAACACAGCGTAAATCTGCAGCGCGTGTGCGTCTGTTTGCTGGCGTCTGTGTGAGTTGTAATCCCAGCAGGACGTCTGTGAGCGCCCACGTAGGTGTGCGCTCGCTAAATCTCCATCAAAGCCTCTGAAGGCGGCTTCAACAGAACCTGACGACCTACTGACACGAATACACGCAGTAGGTGCAGACGGAGGCTGAACCGGTCCTATTTACGGAGGCAGGAGGTTTAAATAATGTAGGATTAATGAGCCGCTCGGTTCTGCTGAGAACGTCAGGAGAACGTTGTGCTGCTGGTTCTCAGTCATCATTATCAGGTGTTGTCTGATGGTTTCAGTGCTTCAGAGATTCTTCAGAGATCCTCTTTCTTTGTTTTACAGAGAAGCCAAAAAAAAAAAAGGGAAACTCAGGAAGAACATCGAATGACATCCAGATAAAATAAATGATCAGAAATAAGTAAATAAATACATAAACAAGTAAATAAATAAAGGGTGAAAGGTAATATCATGAACGATGAAATAAACAAAGTTTAAAAAAAAAAAAAAAAAGCAAGTACATGATAAAATAATAATAATCAAAAATAAAAATAGAAATATATTACATATATTTAGAGAGTAAATCCGGTGATGGCTTTCTCCTGCTGTAAATAATTTTTATGTAATTTTTCATTTATAATATCAAATTATATTATAGGGCAGTTATAAGTTTACAACAGTTGCAGAATTAATTTACATACAATATTTTTTTATGCAAAAAATAATAAACAAACTCTCAGTTCTGTTCTTAATTTGTTCTGTTTTTGTCTCTTAAAAAAAGAAAAAAACATTTTTAAAGTGTTGTTAAAGTCTTGGCTCGATAAGCTGCAGGACCGTGAACAACCCATAACTCAATCTGTTCATATTACAAATAGAACATACTTGACACATGTAGATTAACTTTCATCTTGACACACTTCTGTCCATGTTTATGAAACCAACGTCGTGTCTCTTTTCTGCTTCTGCAGGCGAGAATAAAAAAGCCGTTCTGGACTCGAGCCCGTTTCTGTCGGAGGCCAACGCCGAGCGCATCGTCAGGACTCTGTGCAAAGTCCGAGGAGCTGCGCTGAAGCTGGGCCAGATGCTCAGCATCCAAGGTGACCACAGACACACTCATGGTGGTAGCAGAGAGGACGGGGGAGGTTTAGGGACGATGTTAGAAACCCGTCGACCTGCTGCGACGATGGAAATGCTGCAGGACGGACGGTCAGAGAAGCTGCAGGAAAAGCAGACGTTTGATTGGCTGAGAGCTGCAGACAGACGGACGAATAGAAGGAGCCGCAGCCTTTAGTTTGTCAAAGTTTGTTTGAAATACTTTACAAATAAGCTAAAACTTTATTAATCCTGAAGGAAATTCTTTTACTAGATATGAAGAAACAATGACATAACTTGATGCAGAGTTCAATAGAGAAGCAGTAAGATAGACTTGTAATAAATCACTGAAAGTAAAAATAAGGGACATAGCAAAAGACAAAAATTAAAGTATTACACCTGCAAAATGAAATACACATGAAACGAAAAGTAGTATTGGAAATGTACCTGAAGTTTTAAGGTATTACACAGGATAATAATAATAATAATAATAATAATAATAATTCATTTTATTTGTGCAGCGCTTTTCAAAAACTCAAAGACGCTTCACAGGATAAAAGAACAATAAAAGCAGCTAATACAAAAGTGCACTAATAATAAAATATTGCAGATGAATTTAAAATATTGCACCATTATTGAATTTCCCTTCTGGGATAAATAAAGTATTTTTCATTTCAGACAAATTAAATATTGCAGATGAAAAATAAAACATCAGCATAATACTATTGCTGTAATATTCCAGATGATGCTGGTTTGTAATCACAGATGTTCCTACCATGACAGAACACCTGAATAAAACAGTTGTTTAATTCAGTCTGTTGCCTACAAACATCTGCATATTTTCGTTCCACTCAGCATAACGTGATGACAGACTGGTTTGGAGACGCTGCAGGTTTCCAGTGAGCGAAGCCGTTACAACGTTTTTCTGCAGCTTATCAGAGACGACAGCTGCTGCACGTCCAGTAACAAGAATAAACTCTGGAGTTCAGGCCCTTTGCTGTTATCTAAGGTGTGATAATACCTCAGTAGTTTATATGTTAGCTCATAGACCCGACAAAAATGATTTAAAATCCTGCTGAACTGGACTGAAACAGCTGTTGACTGTTAGTGCACCCTTTGGTTTGTGCTTTACGGGAGAATTAGTCGAGTTTTTAAAGAGATAAACCGTTAAAATAGCAAAATAAAATAAGAAAAATCACCCAGAAAAACTGTGCAGACGCAACATTAGAAACTAGGATTAAAGAGGAAATTAAAATTTTAAAAAAGCTGTTTGTTTGTTTATAAGTTTGTGGGTTAAACTTAAAGAAAAGTCAAATCTCAGAAAAACAATTTAAGAAAGTGTACAAGTTGTTAAAAACATAATAACGTGGAGCAGTAACGGTGAGACGTGGTTACGTTTTCAGACATTATCTTAGGTTCTGGTTTGCGTTTGTGTTGTTTAATTCTGACTTTTTATGATTTATTTTCTCTTTTTCTTTTATAAACACACGTATTCGTCCATGAGTCCAACTTTAGCACAGATCTGAAGTGAATCTTTGGCTTTACAAACTTATTAAAAGATTCATTTGAGTCAGACTTGATAAGAGATCGGCTGTTGGACTAGATCTGTGTGAAGAGTGTGTTTTGGAGGAAACCCTGGATCCCGGTCGCTGCTGCCAGAGGTTCAGCTGAGGTCAAGTTCACGCCGCAGACCTCAGTTCTGATAAAGCCGGCGTGCTTCTCCATAAGCTCCATGTAGGTCAGCGGTTGTTTGTGCTCCAGCGGCGGCGAGCGTCCTGACAGCGGGTTAATGAAGTCGGATCAGGTAGCGGCAGTAAACACGCCGTCACTACTCTGTTTATCTGCTGCTGACCTTGGCTGCTGACCTTTGCTTCTGGCATTCGGAGCTGCAAACATGTTTGTGCAGACGGAGGGCGGGGCGGCGTTGTAAAAAGTCGAGCGAGCTTGTCTGTTTTGTGGTTACCGGCAGGTTTGCTTCATCCCGGAAGCGGCGACGAGTTCTCAGGTCGAGAAGTTTCATCTGCAGCTGGACGTCCACAGAAATAGGTCAAAGGTCGAGATTTCATAGTAATCCGAGTAAATCTGCCGGATAGAAGTCCCGGCTGACATTCATCTGTCGTGGCAGCAGCGTGGACGATTGTCTCTCTGCAGCCGCTAGAGTCCAAAAATAGCGCCGGCCTTGAAGCAGTGAATAAAAGTTTGCCGACCCCGAGGCCTGTGGGCCAAACTGTGCTGCTGCCAGGCGCTGTTTGTGTTTAATTACTGTGATGGTGTGTAAAGCCGGAGTTAACTCAGGCGAGGAGATACACGGCTTTATGTTGATTCTAAGATAAGATAATCCTCTGACGGTCCTGCAGCGGGGAAAGTTACAGCAGAAAGGACAGAATAGACAGAAAGAACAGACACAAATACACAGCATAAGGACAGTAATGAGTCTGTTTTGGTGCAGAAAATAAAATCATCAGGTTTTAAGTGAGTGAAATAAGTCGACTTTTTCTCAGTGCAGGTTCGTCTCCAGTAATCCTGCAGAGATTTACTGCAGCTGTTCTTCATAAAGCGCCTTAAACACTTATATTAGTAGAAAATCCCATCAAACAAAGTGCTCCGACACTTTATTAAAAACACCTGTGCCATCCGATGCAACGTTTTTTTTTAATGTGTTGTTTTTTGTGTTTATTCCTCTGAAGCCCGAGTAGTTTCACAGTGATTTTTATTTTATTTTTTTAAGTCCAGCACCTCTAGAAATGTCTTCTGTGCAGCTTGACATAGTTAAATGATATTAATTATAAAAAAGAGGGGGAGAAAAGCCCAATCTCTTGAATTTTTTATTTTTAAAAATGTATTCAAAAACCTAGAACTTGCAGTATTCTCCCAGGTGTCCACAGGTGTTACCAAAACTGGAAAATAGAAGTATGACTCCACATAATAATGAAGTACTGCACTTCAAAACTGAAATACTGTCTTCGATTATCCAGCAGTTCAGCCATAAAGTCTGTGAATTTTTGTTTTGTGGCAAAAGCTGCAGTTGAATTCTCTGATGGCTCCACAGTTCTGCTGAGAAGTGCAGAATTTTCTGTTTTTTGCAGAATGTAGTCGGAGCAAACGGTTTATTTTTTGGTGAATTTTTAAACGAGATGTGTAGAATAAAGTGTTTATAATGAAACAATACGACACCTGCAGTTCAGCTGAAAAGTCCGTGAATTTTTGATGAGTGAATGCTGGTTGTAGTCGAGTCACTAATACATCTGAGTTTGTGCAGAGGAGTGCAGAATTTTTTGTTTTTTACAGAATCCTTTTAGTACAAACGGTTTTATTTTGGTGAATTTCTAAACAAGACAAATACGTGATTTTAATGAAATACTACGTCATATAACCGCCTAATAATACAACAACCATCAGAAAGTTAAAAAATCTGATTATTTCTTTCTCTTTTTACAGTTTCTATTAGGTGGCTTATTTTTTTTTTAATTTGAAGATAATATGCTTGATTTGATGAAGGTTTCCGACAGAACGGGTCGTCTGGTTCTGATAAAAACTGTGAGATGGTGTTTTTTGTTCCGTTTTTGAGTTTCCTTTCAAACCCACCGTGAAACTATTGATCCATGTCGAGCTCGTATGCGTTATGCACCATACGACATCGTCTTTAATCCACCTGATGTCCACATGTTGGAGTCTAAAGCAGCATTTCGCTGTATTCGGTGACCCACAGAACTCAGGAGTAACTTTCTGTTTTGTTTTTTTGTCCAGATGATGCTTTCATCAACCCTCAGCTGGCCAAGATCTTCGAGCGCGTCCGGCAGAGTGCCGACTTCATGCCCATCAAACAGATGACAGTAAGAGTCGTTTTCTTTCACCGTTTTTTTTTTTTTTGGCAATTTGAATTCAATAAGAATAAGTCCACAGATCAGCCACGACGTTAAAAGTTGACGTTAGAAGCAGGATAAATGTTCAGCGTGAGGATTCAAGAACCTGGATCAGAACTTCTCCAGAACAGAAGACGTTGTGGGATGTTTCCGATCCTAAAGTGATCCAAGAAAGGAGAACCGTCGAACCAGAGACAGAATCATGGACGCACAAACGCTGTTCAGGAACGAGACAAAGAGCTCAAGATGTTGAATCGACCAGATACCGATCCGATTCCCAAGTTTCACAGCTTCCAAGATGAACTTTATTAATCCTTCAGCAGCTTTACAGCAGCTGGATGCAGATGAGACTTTAAAAATGGAGGAGGAGCTTTAAACAGGAAACACAGCTTTATAACCTGTTGTTGGGTTATTTGGGAGCAAACTTTGATTGTTTATGAACATTTATAAAGACTGAGGTATTAGGAGACGATGGGGCAGTGAGAAGAAAACAGGTGATGCTGTCGCAAACTGGAAGAGCTGCAGGATTAAAAAAAAAAGTTTTTAAAGGATCTGCTGCAAACATTGTGAGAACACAGAGTCCGTGACCAATCAGAGAGGAGCATCTAGCTGGTTTTAATGATGTGATTAACTTGCATAAAACTCACTGCAAATTCACTTTTAACTCTACAAATATCCAATATTACATATAACACGTTTATTTATCTGCAGAAAGCGCTGAACAGCGACCTGGGCCCCAACTGGAGGGACAAGCTGGAGTCGTTCGAGGAGCGTCCGTTCGCGGCGGCGTCCATCGGTCAGGTCCACCTGGCGAGGATGAAGGACGGCAGGGAGGTGGCCATGAAGATCCAGGTGAGAGCGTGTCTGTTTGTATACGCCACATTCACTGTTGTTACGCTAAACAGTGGAACCTGAAACCTTCTGCCTGTTTGTGTTCAGTATCCCGGCGTCGCTCAGAGCATCAACAGCGACGTCAACAACCTGATGACGGTGCTGAGCATGAGCAACGCTCTGCCCGAAGGTGACACACGATCACACACAAACAGAAGCATGCACGACTTCCTCATGCGACGAGGTTCAAACTCTCCTCTTCCTGTCGGTGCAGGTCTGTTTCCGGAGCATCTCATCGACGTGATGAGGAAGGAGCTGGCGCTGGAGTGTGACTACGTCAGAGAGGCTCAGTGTGCAAAGAAGTTCAGGTACGACGCAGAGAACGGCTGAATTTACTGTTTAGTTTCTGAAAAGTCGACCCTCAGAAGCATTTCTCATTTATTTACATGCTACCAGACTTCAGCTGGAGTTGCTATAAAAGTGATTTTTGCTCTGCTTCAAAGTTAAACCACCCCAGAAAAATCCTAATTTAATTCTTCTGTGGATGTCAGTGGTGAAAATGTCGATACAAATATAGCTTTTCTTTTTAGAAGATTTAAAATCAGTAATTTTCTGCAGCTCAACCTGAAAGCTGTGTTCATTCTGGCACTGAATATTGATTTAAATTCAGTGTTTTGACAAGAATTTAAGCATTTTTAGTCAAATTTTAGCCACAAAAACTTCAAACGTTTTCTCATTTTTGACCAAAAAGTGAAATAAACGCTCCATCGCCTCAGTGGCACTGGCAGCCTCAGCTCACCTTTTTATAAATGTCAGCTGCTGCTCTGTTTCTGTTTGTAATATCTACATAAGTTCAGTTCGTAATCGTGTCGACTTAAAGCATCCGAAGCTTCTTATTAGCAGCAGAACAACAGGTCCAACTGATAAATCTCGATACCGACAGAAAGCATGAAACATTTCTTCACACTTGTCGTCTTGCAATATTAATTCTTATTTAATTTAATTTAGTTTTACTAGTTAGGAACTATCTGCATGTCTAAGCAACCTTAAACCCTTAAATCCTGCTTTAAAACACATTAAATTAAGATTGAAGTCCAAGTTAAGGTTCCTTCAAGTAACATCAGCTGCACGAAACTCCTTCTGCTTTAAAGGTTTTCTGAAGCTGTGGCTACGTCCAGCGTTTAGTCTGTTTGCAGCATTTCCACAATAATCAGTGAAACTTTCTGCTAAAATCTGCAAATGTTCAAATAATTCTTTATGTTTTGTTTTCTGTGAGAGACGTGTGCAGCTCAGGAAGTGTTTGTATATTTTTTAATTAAGCTATAATTACGTTTTATATCCACTTTAGAGTCGTTACCACTGTGTCTGCACGTTCATTTTGCCAGAAGCTGCTTCATAACTTTCTCCTGCTGATGTTCATTGACTCATAATCGTACTTGCGGTGCAGACGTCAGCGTGTGCACAGATCACCGCCCTCCAGAACCGACCGTCCTCAGCACCAGAACACCACCGTCCACTTCCCCCTTCAGCCCCTCATCCCCTCTACTGATGCCTTTTTTTATTATTCACTGCCTCCTGCTTTAAAAGAACAGCGTCTCATGCAGAGATGAGAACTTCCTCTCCTCAGAGCTCCATCGTGGGAGCCGGATACGTGGGATATAACGGAGTGTGTTCTCCTCTCTGTGGCCTCATCCAGAGTTAAATCTCACGCCGGACTTTCCCACATTCGTCCTCACGTTGACCATGTTTGGTGTTTTGATCTCTTCATAACATCCAATCCAGCATCTCTGAGACGTTATGAGGAATTCTGGTTCAGGTTCCGTTTAACTCAGTCACCCCTCGTTAGCGGTGAAGCTGATATGTTTAGTTTTATTTTCCGTTAGATTCCTAATCTGCAGCAGTAATGACAGCAATTATTCTGCAATTTACCACAAATACTGTTCCCCTGATCATGATAATAAACTTTATTCATGTTGCAACCAGAAATAACAAAGTCAGAAGGTGATTTACAGTAAAAACATGCACTTTCTTAATTGCAAACTTTGTCTTGTGTGTATTTTTTCTACGTGCATATCACCTATTAAAAAAAAAAACCTGTAGAAACTATAAAAAGCACAATAAAGTCACACCTCGGTGCTCCTCAGCTGCAGCTTTCTCACCTAACGCTTCACGGATACACAACTCGGGTTACAAACACGTATTTAGCTTTTTCCACTCGCCTGTGAAACGCTCGTCTCTCGGGTTCAAGGTCGGAGCAGCGCCGAGCCCTGCCAGCTGTATATATTTAGACCTAAGGCTGTGTTTACCTGCTCAATGTGCCGCTGTGTCACTCAGGGAGCTGCTCAAGGATCATCCCTTCTTCTACGTGCCCGAGGTGATCGAGCAGCTGAGCAGCAGCCACGTCCTGACCACCGAGCTGGTTCCCGGGTTCCCTCTGGACCAGGCCGAGGGTCTGACGCAGGAGCTGAAGAACGAGGTACGGGCGTGTGCAGCCGCTCAAGAGAGGAGGATTCTTGCTCCGGCATGCTCCTGATCTTGTTTTTATTAATTCCTCTGTTGATCCGACACAACCGAGCACATCAGGATGTCACCAGAAATCTCAGAATCTCTGTGTTCTGGCTGTCAGTTCTCAGATTTGGGACCATTAATCAGTCGATCAATCAGACTTTATTTCTGTCACACTTTTCATATAAACACATAAATAAAAATGCCATTAAACAACACAAACAAGCCTCCACATGCCAGTTATCAGTGAAGGAAGTGAGGAAACGCTGTTCTGTGAAACATGAGCCATCAATGAAGGAACACCAGACGACATAGAACAAAACGAAATAAGATAAAATGAGTGGGATAAACAAATTAATGAAATATGATACCTGTTATTAAAAATAAAGCCAAAAATAAAAAAAACAAAACAGAATAAGAAACGATAAAAACAAA